TCCTTGCTGGGAACTGCTGAGAGCTCTTTTCAAAACTTTTCTATTTTCACTCTAATACTGTGACAATTGTATCCAGTAGTCTTCGCCCTTTGTAGAGGTTTGTTTTAACCTGAACTAGTTCTGTCACTTGAGTCCTGTTCCGCTGTAAATCAGTCTCTTTACTTGGTTCCAGATCAAGTGTTTGGTTCCAATCTCACCAGCTTGTGTCAAAGAGAAAACAGCACGGTGCCAAAGTTCGTGAAGCTGTGCATTGAGCATGTTGAGGAATATGGTATGGTGAAAGTTTTTTGTTTCCAAATCTCTCTTGCTCACCACGCTATCTAATTTTAAACATTTTAATACTTAAAATGCTGGAGATTTCTTCAGGGAAAATGATCTGAAAGCTGTATCTGTAGGTAGCAAAGAGTGGGGTGGTAGGTGGGATCGAAAATGGGGAGAGGGGAGGAAATCTTGTATCTGAGAAACTCATCTGCTTCACTATCTTTCAAGCTGAGGAGAAGGCAGGACAGCCTTCTGGCAGCAAGGCTCTAAGGAAAGAGGGATTACAAGTGATAGAAGAGCTCAGCCCATCAACATTTTTTTCAGATGAAAAAAGAGAGAGAGAGAGAGAGACACTGTCAAAATGTGGCAGTTCATTTTTGAAAGGTTTAAGCATGCTAACAAAATAATTTATATTAAAACTTCCTCGAAACAAACTTCTAGGAAAAAGTTTTGTTCCTGCTCTGTATATGCTTTGACTGCCAGAAGACAAGTCTATCAGTTTGATGTCCTTCAGCCGGTTACACCAATTGCTATGTGAAGTTTTATGCAATTCTGGAGATTGTGTCAATATATGGACACTGATAACTTCTGTTTGCTTTCATTGAAAATAAGTTTGTCCTACCTAATAACTGAGAAAATTGTATGTTTGAAAGCTACATGTGACATTCTGGGTTGTCTGATGTAAAGGACATCTTCACATTTTTGTTGAAAATATGTTGGTTGTGACTCCTGACTTGGCTGTAGTCTGCTGGTTTTCTTGCTTGTTTCTTGCTGTTGTCATTGCCCTGTCTCTTGGAAAAGATGACTGAGAGGGGATTATGGAATCTCCATAATCATAATTCAAATATATACCAGTCTGTTAATCTGAGAACGTGTCTTGAGAAGCAGGGTAAGTGTTACAGGGGAATACTACGTGTGAGTTTTAAGGCATCTTCCATGGGAACTTCATTTCAGATTTTGTTGCAGCCTGTAGTCCTTTCCCAATGCTGCTATCTTATGGCCTGGGAGGGGAAATATAACTGCTTCCATTGCCTTACTCCAGTTCAGCGAACTGCCACCTTGCATGTAATGGCAAGACTTTATTCTGTTTGCGATCTGCAGTTTGTGAGAAAGGGGTTATTTTGCTTTGTTCTTTTTTTTTTTCCTTTTATTTCTTTTTTTATTTTAAAGACAGGACTGCAGTGAAGATAGTGGTGAAGTTTTCCTTTTTTAAATACCTGAGGGGAAGCTGACAGAAATGGACAGCTTTTTTTCCCCACTTCTCCAACTCTTCTTCCTGCTGCCAATACACTTCAAATCAGTTCTTTCTGTAAAGGAATGACTAGTGGATTATGGGGAAAAGGGATATGTCAGATGGTGCTGGTAACTGTGCTGTGTTGCATCAGACAACTCCTTGAGGAGCTACAGGGACTGCAGGTACTCTGGCAACGCTCACCTTCTCAGTGGCACTGACTCACATTCAAGTGGTGTTTCAATTAAATGCTTTACCTCCTAATCACTTCTGAGTAGCTGCAGTAGCAACCACAGAGACACAGCTTTCTTCTTTTCTGGTTGAGTGTGCAATATGGTAAAGGCAAGGGCTACCCATTTGATTTTGTAGGCTGTTGGGTAGCGATGAGTGTGCATGCACATCATTCCTTCCCCATGCAAACCTGGTCATTTGACAACTTTTGAGATGCTCTCTATGCATGACTTGATTTGATTTTTCTTAACCATGCATTAAAAAATTGAATATCCACAAAATACTTGGTTCTTGCATGTTGGACTCCCATATACCCCCTGGCCGCTCACCAAGTGCATCTTAAGCGAGACACCTAGTCTCAGTGGGGAAACTTGTTGCCTCTTTACTATTGTTCTACTGTGTAGGAAGTTTTAGAGATTACTTTGAGCTTGATGCTTCCAAACCTGTGTCAGCAAACTAAGCCTCCTCTGATATGCCCTGCCCATCAAAAAAGCTAGTTTAACTGTTTTTTTTTTTAACCAAGTGTTCTTTGTTACAAGGTGGGTTTCTTTTGGTTTTAGTTTTGCTGAGTAGGCCTATAAAGAAGCAGCCTAGTGATTGCAGAATTCATACATGTGTAAGGAATTAAAATGGATTTATCCCTTTTGTTTTAGGATTAGATGTTGATGGCTTATACCGAGTTAGTGGCAATCTTGCAGTGATACAGAAGCTAAGATTTGCAGTCAACCACGGTGAGCTTCCTTCAACTGTGTTACAACTGTGTGTATGTTCAGATTGTTCATAGAAAGCTCAGGAATAAAACTTTCTTACTGTGTAACTACAGTCTTTCATGAGAAATGATTGTCATCTTCAAAGTAAGATTACTTCAAAATGGCAGAATTTAGTGTGTAATGTACCTCACTTGAAAAACCTAGCATCCTGGAGGTTTGGTCTATGTGGACCATAGAGGCATTGCTAGAATATAATTCTAAAGGAAAGTGGTAATAGAATTTGGGGGGGGAGAATTATTTCAAACAAAATAACTTCATGCTTTACGTAAAAACAGTAAGCATATTAAGCTTCCACTGGCATTAAAATTGTAAGTTAATACTTTTGAGGGAGATTTGCTGCTGCCTTTTAGTAAGGGGGTGCTTAGCTCCTCTTTGTTGTACTCTGTGTATAAAACCCTTTCATGTGGCTGTATCTTAGTGTTTGTTCAGTGGAAATCAATAGGCAGCTTGCAACTAAGGAAGAGGGCAGTAGCCCATCTATAATCTGACCTCTCATTTCCTGTCTGACAGGGTCTGACAGTAAATTTTGGGCTATGTGAGCAGCTCCTGTTCCCCTCTGGAAAATGCCCTTGGTGCAGGGGAGCTGCAAGTAGTGCAGTAGGCAGGGTTTGGCCATCTCTGTAGCGGCTGAGTTTTTGTATCCCCTTTTTCGCTGCTGCAGCTCTGTGTCCCAGCAGAGAATGGGCTGAAGTGGAATAAGAGTCTTCACTGCTTTAAAAGCACTGAATACAGAAGAACAGTTAAGTTTGGGGTTTTTTTAAAAAGCTTTTATAGTTAAATTACTAACATTATTCATTTTTCTCTCTCAGATGAGAAACTAGATTTGAATGACAGTAAATGGGAAGATATACATGTCATCACAGGAGCTCTAAAGATGTTTTTCAGAGAATTGCCAGAGCCGCTGTTCACTTATAATCACTTCAATGACTTTGTCAATGCAATTAGTAAGTCTGAAAAAGTCTGTGCTTTTTGTATAAGTTCTGCTCAGTATGTACAGTTCATTTAATTATTTTGGACAGTAAAAAGAATGTTTTGGTTATGAACGTCTGTAAGGCTTACCTAAAATTGCCTGTCAGTAATGCACAGTCCAGTCAGGAGGTGGCAGTATTTTATCTAATACTAGCATTGCAAAATGTTCGCTTTTATTCCCAGTCTGTTGAATTTTATGCTAAAGTTTTAAACAAAAATACTGAATTTTTGTTTCTACACTTCATCCTTTTGCAGAACAAGAACCAAGGCAGCGTGTCCATGCTGTTAAAGATTTAATCAAACAGTTGCCAAAACCAAATCAGGACACTATGCAGGTACTCTTTAGACACCTGAAGAGGTAAGTAGCAGATAGAAGGAAAGGCTTTGTATTGCTGATCCTCTCTTAAAGCTAAATAATCTGATTAAAAGTACTAGGTGACTGTTCCCACTGCATTTTTCTTGCTAATATTGGACTTGATGAAAACAATATATCAGTCTGTATTTATACAAGCTTGCAGAGCACCAAATGGACTTTAGACCAGTATGTGTCATAGTTGTGATGTTTCCTGCCAAGTCCTTATGCTTGAGGGATTGTGAGAGGATTACGAATAACATTTCAAAACAAAACTTTTCCGTGGAGAGGGGAATCACAGCAGCTGTATGTCCTAATAACAAGACTACTCATTAAATAAATATTGTGAATAGTCATTTGCTTTGGACTGTGTCTTTTTCCTGTCATCCCATTACTCTAACACTGATAAGTCTCTGTGTATTTTTTTTTTCTTCTTTCAGAGTTGTAGAAAATGGAGAAAAGAACCGAATGACCTATCAAAGTGTAGCAATAGTTTTTGGTCCAACCTTATTAAAACCAGAGAAAGAGACTGGTAACATAGCAGTCCACACAGTATACCAGAATCAGATTGTAGAATTAATTCTGCTGGAATTGAATTCCATCTTTGGACGCTGACTTTTTTCTTGGAGTAGAAAATGGAAGTGATGGGTTGGCAGCAGTACTCTATCAGAAGGAAAATCTCTAGCTGTACATGATGTATTATGTTTGTGGACCAAGCAGCAACTTGTTCTTTGCACTTTTGGGGAGGGGAGAAACAGGAGAAATGTTTGACCACTTTAATGCAAATTAAAGACAACACTTTGGATTTCTTTGAAGAGTTCAATGTAAAAAGTGAATTGAAAAGTTTATAGTTTGTCTTTTTTTTGAGTAGCATTGGAAAAATGTAATATAGGTTCATACACTGGATTTTTTGGAGAGTAAAGCTATTAATCTCAAACTGGATAATCTGGAATTTAATCTTAAATTTTTTCCACTTGATAGGGAAAATTCCTACCATCTGGTATGGAAAAAATTCAGTCAAGTTACATCTTAAGCTTGTGTATTACAACTTACTCAGATCTGTATGATGCTTTTCCAAGGGTTTTTTGCATGCAGTGACTGTCTTAAACTTGAGCTAACAGTTATTATCTAATTCCTCACTTGATATCTGCTGTTCTTTTTCTCCCCCTTTTTTTCTTCTCTCTCTTCCCGTTTTTCCCCCAGTGATCTTTCTGGAACTTCTTAGTTGCTTTATAGAGCAGCACACTATTTCAAACACTGAACTTGTAAGAATATCCAGCAACGGATATTTGTCTTGTGGCATAATAGAAATCATATTTAATAAACATGTTCATTTTTTTCAGGGTATTTCCTGAGCTAAGTTTTGTGTTATACTGATTTAAAGCTAAAATCCTAAGTAAATACCAACTGTCACACTGTATTGAGTTCCTGGTATAATGCTGTGGTAGTGGAAGTTTAATGTAAATACAGGCTGTCCTTTTGATTCCTGTATATAATTCAGTTCCTGTATAGTTTAAGAACATTTTAGTCACACATTTCTAATCATGGGTAGATTAGCTATAGCAGCATAATGTTTCCAGTGGATGTCTGGGTTTCAGCAGGGAAACAGGTTAAGGGGAGGGAGGGGGGGACCTAACTGTGTGCACTTTTAGATGTTAATTACATTTGCGGGCAAATAACTGTAATGCAAATGGTACTGGAGAAATACTGAGTGTGCTTGCTAAATTGTTAATGCACTACAAGAGGAGCCTTTTAGGTTATTTAATATGTACAGGATACATCAGAAAAATGTACTAGAATTCTAACATCTACAAATAGTGAAACTCATGTTTTGATAGGCAGATGTTTGATGGAATCCATGATGCTAAATTTAAGAATTTCTTTTTACATTAATGTAGAATAATTTGTAAAATTGGTTTTGAAAGATTTTGTTACAGGGAGCATGGTCTGCTGAAGATTTTTTTAAATGTATTTTTCTAGACTAACTGCTGTATCTGACATATTTGTTATGTCTAACCTGAATAAAGAAAACCGTTAGTTCTTTTGGAGTTTGCCATTCCCACTTCAGACAACATGAACCCCCTTTAAACAGTAAGACCGATGTATCTTACCGCTTAGCATGGATACTACTTGTGGCAAAGAGCTGTCGTGCTGGATTAAAAGATGAATGCTTACTTTATAACCTGACAATTTTAGGAAATTTTCAGTCCCTTTCTTTAACAACTTAAATTCTAATATAAGGTTCAGAGAGGGCAGAAGTAATTTATGGATATAAATTTGCAGTCTTTAAAACACATCCCAACTTACTTGGAACCTACCATACAGAAAGCAGATACATTGGGGAAATAATTGTATTTTGCCTTTGATCTGTTGTATACCTTTCACAACACAGTTCTGGCTTACAGCAAAGGGGATGTGTGGTGAAGTACTGAGGTGAACCAGATGAATGGTACGAGAATTTCATGAGCATAGGGCTTGCATGAAAAGTGTTTGGAGATAAGAGGAGATGAGTTACCTTGTGGCTTTCTCAATGTCTTCTTGTGGTAATGGTGAAGTCTTGTGGTTTGTTGCAAAGCGACCTGGGTGAGAATTGTGATAGCTCCATCTCGGCGTTGTGTTGTCAGCCTCCTGGTAGGCTGTCAAACCGGAGCAGTGCCGAGTGGCAGGTGTGCCTCAAGCTACTAGAAAATATCAACAAAGTTGAAATCTTTTGCTGTAGGTTATTCAAATCCCAACTTCAGCTGTAAAATGAAAAAGAATTCCCGCTGCTGAATGAGAGGGCTTATCCGCAGGTCACCTTTTCTGTATGAGTGTTATGTTTTTTCAAAGAGAGAATGCCTTTTTAAGACAATTTGATAATGAGGATGTCACACTTTTCCTTGTATTCCCCAAAAATAAAGCATTTTGTTATTACAATATATAGTATGGTTTTGTGCAGTGAAGTTGTCGTATGTTTCAATGTTCTCATTTTTAGTTTGGGTTGGGGAGAGTATTCTTTTTAATTGAAAGAGGTGTAGCTAAATACTCGAAACATTCAGGAAGAGGAGGCTGTCCAAGCTGATGGTATGCTTGTCGTGACCAACTTGAAACTGTGTATGTCAGCACACTACTTTTTCTTCACTACTTGAAATACCTTGTCTTGTTCCTGCAGTTAGCTTTCTTTTTTAAAAAAAAAATCAAACCCAGATTTTTTGCACAAAAACAGCAGGGGAAAGCTATTTGTATTAGATGAAACAGAATTAGATTTATATATTCCTCAGTTTGGGCTTTAAATCAGATTTGGTTCTGGTTTAAAATCAATTTAAAGACTGAATATAAACTTTGGCTGCTATAGCCAGTTGAAGATACTGGAGGTCCGATATCATGTATTGGTGCCAGTTGAAATTTTGTTCCAGCACTAGAGCTGTGTTCAGCTACACAGCATTAGTACCAAGCAACTCTCAGACGTGCTTCATCTATACCAGTTAATAGGTTTCTTCACTTTAAAGCTGGAGAGAGAACTAGACACAAAAAAGACAAGGCAAATATACACAGTCATTTCATGTAAACTGATTTTTTAAAATCAGAGTTGCAGGTAAATAAAGCTTCCTGCGTGCAAGTGGATAGGTCAGGCTCCCCATCTTCACAGAAAGCCACAATAAATTCCCTTTGTACTGATCCCCTTGTATCCTGCAAGTGAATCCTCGACTCACAGTGTGAGAGAGAAGGGAGTTCGTAGGTAATACAGTATCAGTTTATTCCTGTGTGGAGCCCTGACTTTTTCCCCTTATTTAGCCCCAAAGTAATGATATTTTTCAGAATCAATTGGTTAATTCATAAGCCATAACGTAAACCAAGCACAGTGGGGCATTCTGCTGGGCAAAGGGGGAGGTACAGCATGTGTAATGAGGCCTTTGCAACCGCTGGGGAGAGCAGAGCTCCTCCAAAGAATCTTAATTAGTCTCCACAATTGCGAAGTTTTGTGGGCAAGCAGCTGGTAGGACTGGATCAGACCTTTACAAAAGTAGCCCTATGTGACTGTGGGACTTAAATGAACGTTTCCACCCCTCCACCCCCAATAGCATTTTTGTAAACAGAGCACTTGTAAAACAAGATCACACTGTGTAACAAACCAACATGAAAGACATTCGGAGGCGACTTGGCCTCTTGGTCCTTTTTATTGCCCTGGCCTTGAGAATTAAATGGCAGCTCTGATATTAGAGTTTCCTACAACTTCCCCAAATGGATTCAAGTTTGTTAAGGTACTTACCTGCTGCTTTCAAAAGAAGAAATCTGTGTTGCATTCAGCAAACTCAGAACTGCAAAGTGGAACAAGCAGGGATAGCATCAGGTTTATTTCTCACAGAACCTCATCTGGCAGCTTATTGCACTAAAATGTAGTTGGGCAGGGAAGGGGAGAGAGGGGGAGTAAGTAGATGCAAACTACTGAAGGCAGGTGTGATGGACAAGCAAGACAGCAAAGAAACAGTCTCTTAGAAAATCTGCAGGAATCCAGGCCAGAGACCTGGGAGAAAGCCAGGCTGCCAAGAGTGTGGGGTTTGGTTTTTGTTTTTTTCTTTTCCCTTTTTCTTCTTTCTACACTTCATACAATACAGAAGAAGGCCTGGCTATGTTTTGTAAGGGTAAGGTGCTCTGTAAACAGGTGGAGTTGAAGGGACGTTGCAAAATGGCAGTGCCCACCTTTCCTCTGATTTTTCCGGAGTGGCCTCTCTGTGTCAGCTCCTCAGTGATGAGCTTGTGTCCAGGTTCACTTGACACAAACACCTGAGTGCTAACGGGAGAGAAGAGCTATGTTCCTTCAATGTAATCATGAGTGCACAACCAGCACCTGTGCGATACAAAAATAAACTTGTTCTCAGTTTGGCAGCTTTGTTCTGGTGGCACTGAGTGCCGCATCCGAGATCCGAACCTTGTGGCACCAGATCCTGAAGAGCACAGGTAGCCCTGTCTGTTACAATCTCAGCACACCAGAAGAAGGAAATGTATGAAGATGAAAAGTGGGAGTATGCAGAAAAAACAATAAAACCCCAAGCTAAACTTATTTTCACAACCAGTTTAGATTTGCATGTATGGTGCAAATCTGCTCAGAATAGTTTGTTAATTTGTTGTATAAGAGAAACAGCTGTCCTCTGAAAAATTAAATACCATAATTAAAAGCTCTTATTTTTTATATCAGGCATTGGAAGAATAATGTTAAACATTGGTCAGCTTGTCTAGTTCATCATGTGATGCAGCCAAGTGGCTGGAATCGAACGGCCGGCGGTGTGTTACCTGGCCACTGATGTCCCCGTGCTCTCCGCCTTTTCTTTACCGAGAGCGATGCTGAGCTGGTGGTGGCTTGTTGCCTTTCTGCATGTGAGTGTCCCGCCTAGCTACTCATTCCAGGAAAAGGAGGTACCTAACCTAGAAACAGAACTGAAACCTGCCTTTTTCCAAGACGACCTTTCCTATCAACCTGGGCTGGGCAGCGCTTTGTCCGCAGGCTCGCCTGCCGTCCCCTGCCGCAGGGACGCTCTCCCCTGGCACCGAGCGAGCGCATCTTCTGTGGGTGCTGGCCTTGGCAAGGCCCCTGCCGACACGCGCCTGGCCCACGCAACTTCACCGCCTGCTGCTGCGAAATAAAATGGGGACGCGGTTGTGCAAGAGGCAGTGTCTCCTCTGGCACTCCCTTAAAGCATTATGTACAATGAAGGATGCCATGACATTTCCCGCTATGAAATAGCTGTTTCATGGCTGAAGTGCTGTCCTTGCCAATATACTAGTCCTGTCTAAGTTTTCTCTCTGAGGTTTTAAAGAGAAGACTTCTTTTCTTACCAATCTCTCCTTTTCCTGCATCTGCCTACCTGCTATTCCTGCT